TGAGAAAATTCCCCTCTAGAGAAACCTCACTCGTCCTGCTGTGGCCCTAACCCTCTGCCCTCCTGGCCGAGGGGACTGCACAGCTCGCCCCTTCTCTTCAGGTGGCCTGGACAGCCTCTTTCCGGGGTCAGATGCCGCTTTTCTGGCTCAGGTTTTAGTCCAATCACAGCTCCAATTCAATCAGCTTCTCCCTCCTCTGCATTTACAGTTTCAGTCTAAGAATGCAGGCAGAGCAGTGAGCTGGGTCACAGAAGGCCTGAGTCCACGGTCTCAATATGGACTTGGGCACCCCCGGCAGAGTCCACTTTCAGCTGTGTGACCACGTAAACTGACCTGACCTGCCCTGCGCCAGGCGTCCAGAGAGGAAGGCTGGGCTGAGCTGGCTGGGGAACCCTCACAGAGACCTTTGGGGCAACCCCTACCCTCTGCAGATGCAGAGCCTGAGGGACAGATAGACCTGCCCAGACCCGCAGCCAGCGGTGGCTTGGGCGGGGCTGGACGCCCAGTGGGCTGCCAGGTGGAGCCTCCGGGACCTGACACCAGAATTGTTGGGCTGTGGGCTGTCGTCTGAGCATCCAGACTGCAAAATGCTTTGGATTTTCCATCTGACTAAACCTTTTGCCTCTTTTAATCCTCACAAAAACCTTCCCCCAGGGAACATGAAGTTGCTGGCCCCAGAAGGATTAAGTAACTCATCTAAGATCACACAGCAAGCGAAAGGCAGACCCAGCCCCTGCACACCCACCAGGCCACGCCCCTGCGCTGGGCCGCTGCAGCCGCTCACTGCCACGCCCACCCCGGCTGTAAGTCAAAAGCTTGTCGAATCCTACCTTCTATGGGCGGCACGGTGTTGAGAACACAGTAGGTGCTAGTTCCGCAGAACACACTTTGGGAAACGCTCTAAGGAAACAGAAAATAAAATGTAAAACTAATCTTTGAAAAAGATACACACTGGCTCTTCAGTGCTATTCCTGCCACAGTACAAAACCTGAACCTAGTCGCAAGGAAACATCAGACAGATTCGAGTGGAAGGACTTGCCACGAATGACTGCACTGCCATCACCAGTGTCCAGGTCACAGTGACCGCCAAACCCCACTGGAAAGCCTCTGCTCAGCCCCAAGGGACTCTCCCGGAGAAGGGCCAGCCGGCGCCCCACGAACGGCTGGGACTAGCCATGGCCACCCCCGGGCCGGGCCCAGGTCTGGGTTACTGCGCGTGGTTACAGAGCAGGATGTTCAGGTGTGTAAGAAATACACGACGAGGTGTCTGAGCGCAGCGGAAGGCACCGACAACCTCATCTCACAGGGGAGGACGGGGCGGGGGAGGGGAGGGCGGGGCAGGGAGGGGAGGTGTCCTTGCATGCCTCCTGCAATTTTTCTGTAGGCTGCGGAGACGTCCAAATTGCAAGACCACGTCTGCAAGAAGACGTGTGCATTGTGTGCACACCTGTGACGCTGTAAACATCTACTGAGAAGAACCAACGCCAGTATCCGTTTGCGGCTGAGAAAATAACCGAGGACACAATCCACCATTTCCCACCAGTAGACCCGATGCCCAGCTCATCCCAAGGAGGCCGCTGAGCGCCAAGCACGGCCCGGCTGCAGTAAGTCAGGCGAGCTGGCGGCCAGGTCTGTGCCCAGGTGGCTTCCGTTACACACAAGGTGCTTTTATGTAAAACCATGCAAAAAAGTAGAAAAATGTCGTTCAGCCTTGCCAGCCAACTATTTGCAATCCCAATACCCTCTCTGTTTGGTTTCAGGTATTCATCCCACATTATGAACCACACACACATTTCTACACTTACAAAACCAAGATAGCTTACAAGTCCAACAACTACCCTCAACGTTTTCTAGCTAAAGCATAAAAGCTGTTTTCTCACCAGCTGTCCTTGGGAAAGGAACTTGGCCTCCCTCGAGGCCTCATTGAGAAAGCAAAGGGGAGCCCTCTCTCGCCCACCTGCAGGGTACTGGAGAAATAAAGCAGGACGACACAGAGAAAATTCACTACAAATGCACGTCCTGCCCAGAGACACAGTGCCGAGGATACTGTGGGTTAGTACGACGAGGTGTGACACGTTAACATTTTTACAAACAAACAAGACAGTCAGAATTTTCACACGGAAGTGTCTCGGAACCTGACTGGACTTGATTTCCAGGCGTCGCCAGGTCTTCCTCCCCCTGGGCCCCAGGGCCAGGAGCTCGGCCCCCACGCGCCCCCCACCCTGCAGCAGAGACTGGCCACCTACTGCTGTCCCTAGGGCGCGCCGTCCCCGCTCCTGCAGGACCTGATTGTGGGGGCCGGGGGAAACCTGTCGGGGCACTGGGGACTTCCAGGCCCAGGCGCCTCTCTGTAAACTGAGGGCCAAGTTCAGGACTGCCGAGTCCTCTGGACAATTCACCTGCGAGCGACGCAGGCGGGGGCGGACACCAGGACTGAAAAGGCAGCAAAGGTGGGGCCTTGGCAGCAATCCCCGGTCACCCCCATAATGCAACTTCTCAGCTTTGCGTGGTTTTGTGAATTGAAACTTGGAATTTCGTGATGCTGAAAAGAAAGTCTTACGTTTCAGGTGTAACATTTTCTGATTTCCCATTATCAAAAAAAAAAAAAAGACTGTGAGTTTCGCACTCACCAAGACCTCTTAACAACGATCTTAACATCAACAGCGGACAGAGCGCCCACGGGCAACGGGACACGCCTGCAGCAGCTCCGTGGGAGAGAGAGAGGCCTTCACAGCTGACCCCGAAGTCCGAGGATCAGGGGCAAACATGCCACCATGAATCAGAAGAAGCAAACACGGACACGAGGACGCGTCACAGAAACAGCTGAACAACCTGTCAGGTTTTCTCCACGGCGCTGGCTCAGGAAGTGCTGCTGAGCCAGCTGAGAAGCTCAGCTCAGCTCGGAGGACGCCAAATGTCACTGGCCTGCAGCATCAGGTCCTCAGGCAGGGCTGCCCCTGCCCCCTGGCCCGCGTGCCAGCCCCGCGGTCTCCTCCCGGGCCGCTGTGCTCCGGCGCCGGCAGCCTGTCGCTGCACAGCAGCGGTGGCCGGGGTGGCCCTGTCTGAGACGGGGCACTGCGGCCCTCCATCCCGGCCACCACGCCCGCTGAGTCGGGGCAGACGGCAGCCCCTGTGCACGGGGCCAGCCACAGTGGGGGACAGGAGTGCTCGCTAGTCCGTGCGTCAGGGCGCCAGCCTGCCCAGACGCCCGCCCCCCCCATGCTGCCCTCCCAGGCTGGGTGAGTTCAACCTGACACCCTAGGTGCGGGAGCCACTGCCAGCAGGCGCCACGCACAGGCCGCACCCTCTCTACTCAGCTCCTGACCCATGCCAGGCACTGGGGGCACGCCCCAGTGGTGACCGCACCACAGGCCCGGGATGGATCACGGGCAGTGTGGAGACAGGGGACAGTGATGAGAAGGACCCCAGGCAGGAGGAGGCGCTGCTCCAGTGTCTGTCCAGGAGTAAGGGTTCAGGGTCTGGCCAGAGCAGGAACCTCGGATGGCCCCATTCACCCGGGAGGGGGGGGGGGCACAGTTCTGATAGTTCTGATGCTTTGGCTGCCACCTGCCCAGGTAAGAACGTACTTGTGGGATGGGGCCCAGGCGTCGGTCACCAAGTGACCTCAGATGCCCCGAAGGAAGGAAACCCCCGGGGTACATGGCTGCGTGGTTGGGCAGCTCAAGCGGGAAAGGGAGGCTCCCAGGAGGCCGGGCTGCTTGGCCCAGAGCCGCGCTCACCCCCCAGCCTCAGGCGACGGGGCAACGGAAGGGGTGCTGACGAGACGTGACCGCAGGCTTCTGCGGGGACGGAGCCGGATGGAAACCGTGTTTACAATTCTTTGAAACAAGGACTGTGAATGTTTAAGTCTCCACAGAGTCCCTTTAAAACTGACTGAGGACCCACACAGCCTATTAAATAAAGATGGAGAGAAGCCACATTGGATGAAACAAACCACTTGTATCAATTAGAAACGATAGAGTGAAAAAACTTGTCACGTACATGCTTCATTGTGACTTGACACGACTGCTGGAGTTCGAGGGTGTTTATATGTAACACACCCTACCAATGATGTAAAGCAGAGGCTGAAATTTCTAGCCCTTGACGAAGCACTCCAGCGAGCCTCGGCCCTGGCACGGCGTCTGGGCCGGTTCGGGAGGCTGCCTCTGAGAACACACTGTATCATGGCCCAGCTACAGCAGGGTTTACTTCCTGCTGGTGTCGAGTCCAAAACAGGTGTCCCTGACAGGTCTCCTCAGAGCGCCTTCCCTTCGGGGCGAGGACCCAGCCCACCCGCAGAGCGGGAACAGGCATGGGGGATTACGAGCCAGCCTGGAAGCAGCACGCCTCCCTGCCCTCACCCTTGGCAAGCGCCAGGCCACAACGCCACACCTAGCTGCAAGGAAGTCTGGGAAATGAGGTCTGGCCAGGTGCCCGGGAAGAGGAGATGATTCGTGATCAGCTCGCCTCTGTCACCATGCCATCTATAACTGGGTTTTTTAATTACAGAAGAGTCACTCCTTTCAGACACGTCTTCTGCTAATCTGCACCTTCCCGATCACCCCGAGGCCTTCCGGTATCTAGACCGATCGAGTGGTGTGCTTCTCCAATGCACATCTCTCTGACAAATGTGTGACGAGGCCTGTCGCGGGCACCTATCACGGCACCTACCGCGCCACCTTGGCAGGGCTGCCGGCTGTGCGCCCTCCCACCCCTGGTTCCTCATGCTCACTGTCTGGCACAGAACAGAAGCGCAAATATTTGCCGAGTTGGTGGATGAATGACATTGCCAGAGTCACGCAAAGGGCAGAGCATGGCGGAGGGCCCGTGCCCGCCGAGCCGGGGGGTGGGGCCTGCGCAGCCCCTGGGTCATCTGTCAGCACCCCTCTCCCGCCACACGCACTGAGTCGCCACCGCCCCCCGGGCGCCCGGACACTCGGGCAGAGTAGTGTGGCTTCGGAGCCGCTCAGCTCCAGCACAGCCCACCAGGACGCGGTGGGACGGACTTGGCGCCCAGGCCACCAGCTGAGGGCCTCCGGGCCGGGAGCCAGGTGCACCTCGGCTCGGGACGCTTGACCCTGTCTCCACACCGCGAAGGTCAGTGCAGTAAGGTGTGCGGCCGGCCAGCGGTTCCTGCGCGTCCCCTCTCCCCAGCAGCCGGAGCTACACCTGCCATGACAGCCGCCACCGTCCTGCCGGACAGGACCGAGCTGCAGCGCGGACTCGAGCTGAAAGGGAGCGGCTGCCAGGGAGCGATGCCGCGCCAGCAGGCGAGGGCCGCACAGGTAACGGGGCACGAGCGTGCGAGGCCCGACGGGCTCAGCACCTGGAATTGAGTTCGAAAGAAACACGTCTCAGGACAGACCACAAAACTGCCCAAGTCTAAGCAGCTTACACGGGAACGACTACTACGATACATCAAGCCTGATTTATGGCCTGAGAAATCACATTAATTGATTCACTCTTACTAGGGATTCGTGTAAAGCGTATTTAAAGTGATTTCAGAATGAAAAAAAAATTATTCTTGCTAGATATGAATCACAGTGCCATTAGAATTTTCATAAATTTAATTTGGCCAGGAAGTCAGTATACTCAATATTCTGAAAATAATCAAAGAGCTCTTATTAAGTGTCCACATTTGTACAAATAAATTCCAGTAGCGCACACACAGAAAAACTACCTGAAATCTAAATGACGTGGCTTTCTTAGCAGGCCTCGTGATTAGTACGGATGATAATAAACCCTAACTCCTCAGCAAGCACTGCAGAGCACCAGCAACACCCCCCAGAATATGTCACCTTGACCCCAACAGGCCCCAGAGCAGACACGACACCGGGGGGACAGGAACCTGGAGGCAGGGCTGGACGCTGGCCAGAGCCCAGGCGCCAGGGAGGTGGGGG